CGAATCCGGGGGTTTGGGTGAAGCAAGCCTACCCTATTCTCAAACAGCACTTTCAACGTTCACATTGAACACATGGTCAGGACAACAATTTACCAAGAGCTTTAGCATAGCCTCGAAACTATCAAGGTAACAAGCTTATTCGATAGACTCAGGCAACGATCTTTATCCTCGTCAACAGTGGAGACACTCTTGTCATGAGTGAGATGGTTGGGCTTGAAGCCTATCCAATCAACCTCACACTCTCGTCCCCTCGTATTTCTCACCGACTTCCCAAAACCGCATCAACAACATTGGACTTCTCAAGGATAATAGCGTAGTCAACTCACATGCTATTCTTACGAAATATGTGATTTTCAAGTCCACGTTAATTTCCCACTTGTATCATTACGTGAATCTCAAAAAGTCACGCTTGAAATTGTCCTGCGCGCCATTAACTTGGCTGACTTACCTGGTAAGCCTCAATCAGACATTATGACCTCAAAACTTCGAGAACTCTTCTTTATCAGCACTAGCTTCTCGAGAACACCTGATCTCAAACATTTGCATTTTCAACGATGCACATTCCTGAACCCACAGGCCGAATTCCGTTGTTTGTTTACGGGGCGACAATCGTAGGGCGGTCGTGATAGTGATGTAAGATGGGAACTGTTGCAAGTGTTGACGTTGACGTTTGAACTTTGAAAAGACCCAAACCCAAGGTTGGAAATTATCCGCTAAGCTGATTAAACTTTTAACAACTCACCCGCTAACAATTTTCAGCTCTGCATGACTTTCTCTTCCTTGGTTGAAGGGATCACAAGGCGGCCTCTAAGTGCGGAGGTTCGATAATCCGAAGCCTCTAGAACAAGAGACTCAGGGTCTAGATGTCAGAGTCAGGGGTCATGCAGCGACTAAAACAAGCTTGCTTTGCACTACGTCATAGGGTCATATCAGTGAATCACGACAATTTCCTAGGGAGAAATTAGACTCTGTTGAGTTTTAGGTCGATCTCTCGCTTCTTAGGTCGCAGGAATGACGGCAGAGGCTTCCCTTCGCTACGTATTAATTGACAGGCGGTCTACCCTACGAACGAACGAGTGAGTGAGTTTTCGCCAAGCTTGACAATTTTGCTCGCCCAGTCAAAGTGACGCTTCAGTGACCAGCTCATTTTCTTGACTCACCCTAATCATCCTAATAAACCCGCGATCCTCTTTCCTTTGCGTCTGAGCCTGCAATCAATTAATCACTGACCCGCTCCGACCTACGATAACCTCTTCTCGTCAATCTTTTCTCGTAAATCTCCACCCTCTTTGCGAGATCCCGTTCGAATTGCCGACACAAACCACAGCAAGCAAAGCGACCATGGGCATCAAGGATCTAGCTATCAGCTATATGGTGTTTTCCACCATCCACTTGTTCCTGTTCGCACTGGCTCTCACCACTATCGGTTTGTATGGTACCGACCTTCATAATGCGAACAAGCAGGGCAAATACTCTGATTCTAAGTGGGTGAGTGACTTGCTCCCTCCCTCCCTCCCTCCGTTCGTCAACGTGTAAATACACATTGTTACCATGCAATGCAATACAATACAGTACAGTACAGTGCTGACAAAAGTTCAATGCACAGGTCTACGCCGTGGTTGTTGGTAGCATCTCTGCCGTGACATGTGTACTCTACTTTATCCCGTTTGTCCTGCGTGTCGCCGGCTTTGTTGTCGCGATATGGGACTTTATTCTATTCGTCCTCTGGATCGCCCTCTTTGGCGTCTTTGGCAAGGTATGTTCTATCATCCGTCAAGTGCTTACTGCAAACGATCGGCGGCATCGTTTGGCTGACATTTGTGAAACCTGCAGATGTACATCAATGAGGACGCCGAGGGTGACGGTGGTGTCAAGCGCATGAAGAACGCGGTCTGGGTCGATCTGGCCAGCGCCCTGCTCTGGCTCATTGCTACCTTGGCGGCCCTGGGCTACTGGTGGAAGCACCGTGACAATCGTTCCCGCTTTACTGGCCGCGCTCGTGTCTGATGAGACACAAACGGGCGCATCTAGCCCCCTCAGAAAGAGACGGACATGTTGAGGATGGTTGCATATGGGATACACAAATGCAACTCGCGACGGAGATATTCGGCAATGGTAATGGAACGGTAATGGAACGGTAATGGAACGGTAATGGAACGGTAATGGGAAGGGAGAGGGAGGCCTGCAGGTCGGGCTGTTTGAGTGTGTGCGTGCTTTGTGTGTCTGTATGCTGGGATGGGAATGGACGAGACGAGATGAGATGTTGGCACGACTTTACTTTGATACCATGGTTTTCTTCTGTGTTTCCTTACTTTTCCTTTTTCGACAAAGACTGCTTGTTCCTGAAACACTAATATCTGCACCGAACTCAAAATTTATCGCTATCAACTGAATCGAGAATATCACACTTATTAGTGCAACCATCTACGCCAGCCTCCCGTACGGCGTGCAACATGGCTTTGTGAGATGGGTGGCTAGATCTACCAATGGCCGCCGGCATGAGTGAAACTTGGTCAACCAATGATAGTCAACGGGCAGTCACTGTAGGATTCATGCTGTGAAATAGCCACGGACATTGGCATTGGCAACACAAAGCCAAGAAGAGTGCAGCTTGCCGAACCACCGTTTACGCCAAGACAGAGTGATATCCGAGATACCCTTTCGTAGTACCCTGAAGAGCGTCGATATGGGACCACCACGGAGAAGGATGTTGCACCAGTTTGACCAGGACCTAATAAAGCAGAAGAGAGAGAGAGCAAAGAGGGGCGAGCGTCGATCGTCGATCGTGGACAGGCTCGCCTCCAACGCTTCCGAGGGGTGATGTGACGATGACGGACTTTTCCTCAGAGGGAGAAGGGGTCTTTTACCCCTTCTTTCAAGGGTCCGGCGTTCGACTGGCTGCGTCTCTCGCTCAGACCTTTGTGTCTTGACCCTGACCCTCAAGGGGATTAGGATTTTCGACTCACGGGCGAAAGCAAGCGGCGCTTGTGAGCGGGCCAAGCCAAGCTACTCTCTTGCCATGACGTCGATCAGATGCCTGATGGAAGCTTCAAGTGGGGGCCGCTTCTAAAAGCCCGTTTGTTTTTGGGTGCAAGGATCTGTTGATCTCTTGTCCTCTTTGTTGATACCGGCGGAGAAGTTGGGCAGCGTTGGTGGTGATGTGAGTGTTGATCGTAGCCGTGTAGAGGCGGTAAGTTAAGCGATAAGAAATGCACGTGGAAACATTCTACGACATTTGACACTGAATACGAGCGGTCAAATGCTCAAATGTCTCATTGATACCATCTCCTTTTTCCGTTGATGGTGGTGGTTGTGAGTGACCAAGTTGTAGTGATACGAGGGTCTAAGATTGCGAATACCCATAATGGGAATTGTTAGCAAATGTGATCATAAGTTCCTGGATATAATATTGACCACGTATTATCGACCTTGCATGTACACAATACTATGGTACATACTCCATACATACGCGCAAAATTGTCTCTCCACAAAGAGTGACTGTGACTGTGACTGTGTCTTCCAAGACTTGGAAAGCAGAAATATTCGCGGAGTCGGATAAATGCACCGTTGATACGGAACGTCATTGACCAAAAACAAACCAAGGAGGGGTCTCGTTTTCAAAGGGTCCCTACAGCAAATCTCAGGGACTAATTCGTTAGTTTGCTTCGTCCAGGACGGGACGTTGACCGCGAGTTCTAATTCGTCTCTGCAAGGCATCAGAGTCTGGCCATGGACGGGATGGCACAGCAAGAAAATAAAACCCAAACGAGACCAAACGCTGTGCTTGGTCTCTTTGTTTGCGTTGGTGACTTTTGAGTGGCTCACAGGGTCGTCCCGCATGTATTTCCTTGGCATTCTGTACGGTGACGGCGCATGCAACCAGGTACAAATCAAGGGTCAACCCAGCCAGAGTGTGCCTCAAAAGTCCTAGCGGGATACCTGCCAAACTCGTGGTTGCATGTCGCGCTTCCACAACGGGTACCTTGTAGCGGGTTCCAGCATCGGAAACATTGGGAAACCCGCTACAGAGGGTCGTACGTGGTGGAAGCGATCCACTAAACCTCGCCTTTGCCCTGGATCTTGGGCTTCTCTGGCTTCTGGCTCTGCGTCCCGATGTTCCTCGCTTGATACTCGCGAGTTGATTTGTTGGAGCTCCCACTTTTTGGGGGTTGGGAGGCGTTGGAAAGAACCTGACCAGGATGGAACGGGAGAGGCAAGATCAATTCTGACATTGGCATCCATTGGATCCATGGAAGAGTGTGTCTAGAGTGTGTCTCGCTTGCGATAACAAAACCGTTTCGGAACCCTTCGATCTTCATTTCTTAGGGAACCCTTCATTTCTCGCCCAAATAGGCATACACTTCACTCATCTTACCTACTGTACTCTCCCGTACTGTACTGCACTCCTGTGCTTGTGCATGCTCTGCTTACATACTACTACACTGCAGTGTCATGTTGTGTTGTGTTGTGTGTTTGCCTGCCTGCCTGCCTTTTAACATTACATCTTGACGCCGCCATCACATTCTTGAGTTACAGCTACCTACCTTATCCATTCGCCTCACTTCTTTTATCCGTCCTCCGTGGCATTCCGTCCAATACATACACATTCGAAAAAGTCACTCTATTGTACTCTTATTATCTCCTCTTGGCCTCCCGTCATTTGCGACACCGACACGACCTGCCCCTCATTGTTAATCATCAAACCTCCCCGACTGCCGCCGCCCTCCCGTGAGCTGAGCGCGCATTCATCCATTCCCGTCCCCTTGATCTCCTGGTTCTTCTCAATCCTCCAAATATATCTACTTATGCAGCGACGTTGGCGCTTGATTCAAGACTCCGGCTGGGTTCTCAGTCAGGCGAATAGTTATTCTCCAAGAGATCAAAGACTCAAACCTCAGACATTGAATCACGACTGCAACCACGATATGGCCAGTTTTGCAAGAACCATCAAATCTCCTTATCTATCACCCCGACTTCGACCTTCCATGCCGGGGCGCGCCATGTCTACGAACTCCGACCAAGCTAGTAGTAGCCAAGCCAACCCTCCTCCTCCTCAAAGCCCACGATCAGGTGAAATTATCGGCGAATTTGACCTGTCTGGACGAAACACCCCAGCGATTCCATCCAGAAGACCAAATGAACTACAAGACGGGTTCTTTGACCTTGATGACATTGAACCTCGTACTTCCTACTTCTCAGGTAAGTTAGCATTGGCATTGACATTCATTGTACGGAATGCTTGGAATGCACATCCAATATCCAGTCGTTTGACCCCTGATTGCCAATCCATCCCCACCTTCCTCTCGATGATCTTCATCACCTGGCCTCAAGTGAGTGATCTCAAGCTTCGTGCGGCCGGACGTCGGGGCTATCCTCCGGCCGACGATCCCGGACGGAGACGGGCGGTGCTCAACCCGGCAGCTGGCATCGCATCGCATCGCAGCGTGCAAAAAGCTCCTAGGCGAGACACGTTCTTCTGCTCAGACTTGGTTCGGCGCCACAAGTTCCCCTCTACGAACCCCAGAGACCCTGACACATGGCATAAGCTCTAGTTGTACACCACCAGAAAAAAGTATGTACAACGAATAGATGCGATGCTGTGTAAAGAAAAGGGGTGTTTGTTCTGAAGAGGTCGAATCATGTAAGAGCTTGTCCCTGTCCTACAGCGCAATGCATCAATAGTTGTGCCTATCAACGCTATCCAAGTTGGCTATTGGAGCATCCTTACCAATGATGCATCCGGCGATTGACTGGACTGGCGCAAAGCGCGCGGGGCGGGATTGAGGTCTCGGGAGGCTCCCGCACCCCCCGTTTTCGAGAATGCCATATTGGCTGGCTTCTCAAGCTTGACCATCTTCTACATCCATCTCTCGAGTCGTTGCTCCTTGATCGGCTTGACTTTGTCACGCTCCCCAATTTCCACAATTCTCCTCACTTTTATTTCGCTCATCTTTTCCTTTTCCTTTTCCCTTCAAATCATCTGCCCCTTCTCCACCTTCTTCTCAACCATTTCCGAGTCAAAATGTCTCTTGCACCGGGATGATGGGCCTTGCTTTATCGCGCTACTCGTTGCTCTCCCCACACTCACTTCCCAGCCATCGCGGGGTAGTCTAGTGGCCCCCATCAAACCATCCCGGGGTTGGCCGTTGAGTGACGCCTGGACTGGCCCTGAAGTGCACTACCGGCTTTTGCTTGAAAATGTTCTTATATCCTGTGCTATTCCTCACTTATCCTGTTTTCGATCTTGTTGTCATCGACCCTCCCTTGGCCACTACGCATTCGGTCATCGTAAACCTTATTCTTCTTACTGGTCTTCCCTTTTTACTTACATATGTCCCCTCTTTATTAGACGACAACGAGAGGTCTGCTCCTGGCACTCCATCTGCTCCTCCATCTGCTCCCTCAACCCCGCGCAGCCGCAGCCACGTTCGACCTATAGCTATCGATCTACCTCAAATCAGACGTTTCACTTCCGCTCCCGCACGCACGCCTCCCGAACCCTTATCAGCAAGAGGTGACCTTCCTGGGTAAGACATCCATCCATCCATTTCCCGTGTTCTCTCAGTCAATTCCATTCCATTCATCTTTACCACGTGGACTAACACCGTTGCAGAGGTTACTTCCCACTTCACGAGGATCCCAACAGTCGTGTCCATCGGCCACACCCTTTCCAGCATCATCCCGACACTCGCATGAGTCGTCTCATCTCTGAATCTGGACCAATCTACGCCGACTCTCCCACTTCTCATCCAGCTCAAAGTGCAGTCATGTCTCACTCAAACACTCCCGTCGCCTCTTACCTTGCTCCAGGCTTCCATGACCAGCCTGTCCCCATGGGCAAATACTACCCATCCAACTACGAAAGGAAATATGGCGCCCAATCAGTTCGACCTCCCTTGTCTGGAAGCGTATCCTCCAATGTTGGATCCGATTCCAGTGCAAGTGCCCAGGCGAAACTCGACAGCGAGCTTCGTCGCAAGTTGATCCAGTACAAGCGCGATATGGTTACACAAACAAGTATGGCTGCAAATGAATTCATTGGTAGCTCGGCCAAGTCTGGCGACAAGCCTGGATTGTCACTCAATGACCTTCCCTTCCGGGACTGGAGCTTTGCTACTCCCGGCTATCAGAGGCCCTTATCCCCCAGACTTGCTCCCATATCAAGTCCCGGTCCTATCACTCCCATGGAGCTTGAAAAAGCTGCCGCTGGTGGTGACTACATGAGTCGCTAAAAAAAAAAGGCAACATATCACAAATTTCTTTCTCTTACCAGTTACTGTGTTGGGATATTGAGATAGAGTGGCATATGCATACAGATTGAGCATGGTTCTTGCATCGAAACTGGCTGGACTTGTTATTCTCATTTGACAAAGGGCGTTGGTTGGAGGTGAGCCCATCAGTGGCCTGATATTCCTCCTAGGTGGCATTCAGCGTGTTATTTAGCTGCATTCTGGTACAATTTGATACTGTACGTGTTGAGGCATGATACCCATAGAATACATTTCATTTGTAAGGACTAAATGGTGACCACCGGGCCACCCATCTCCGCAGATAAGTATATGCTGTTCTCCGTGATGTCAAAGTGATCCGTAACAGAGGAGATGATAGTACTTTTTGATGTAGCAAGCATGTCAGACGGTGGGACTAGGTAATGATAACGCAGTACCATTGAAGACACTGTTCCCGTTGAACTGTTTCCCTTCCATGCCAGCTCCATCGTGTACATTTAATAAGACCTCACTTATAATGTCGTATGACTGCAGTCTGCAAAGCCCTGCAAATGCATGGCAAGAGAACGGAATAAAGAAACAGACTGTTACATTTTTCGTGCCGAAAAGTCGTACCGTCCCAACAATACACGTGTGCTTGGGCTGAAACTTACTGTAAATGATGCACCGGGTTCAAATTCTTTGGTGCTGCCTGGGACTGACCAGCCAAGGTGCAGGGTAGGCAACACTCTAGGCAGCAAGAGCTGGTTGAGTCAGCACGTGATCTGGCGTTCGCGTTTGCCTGCCGTTAGAGCCAATTCAATTTAACTCTACGCGTTCCGCCCTCGTGTTAGTGAAACCCTGTCTTTTTGTGTACTTCATGTGCAGCAGCACGTTTAAACGATCTTTATGACATCGAAATGTTGAAGGAGTCATTATTCTATGAACTCGAGAAGTCATAACCAATCTTGTCGCCAAGCATGACTTCTGGTTCCATTCCCACGACTGCCATCGTGGTGGATTTCATTTGCCTCTTCACACACGATCTGAAGAGAAAGCAAAAAAGGTGGCAGGATGGAGTGCTCAAATATCACACGTTCAACAAGCGAGTCATGGTGTATGATGATCGCAACCACTTCATAGGCGATGCTCATTGGCAAGAAGGTGGCCACCTAGAGCCTGGCGATGAGTTTGAGCTGGATCGTGGTGCAGCCATTGTGCAAGTCTCGGACTGCACCGGACAACGAGAGCAGGACCTGACAGAGCTACTGGATAAGCGCGCAAGAGAAGTTGAGAAGCGCCGGACAAATGCTGGGACGACACGAACACCAGGATCGACTGCAGCAGTAACTCAAACACCAAGAAACGACCAGAATGCCCCTCATTTTCAACTCAGACATCGCCCGCTTAACGATCTTGTTGGAGGAGCTTCGAGAATTGGGAGGGCCGTCATTTCACCCCACTCGCCATTTGAGCAGCGCAAGATGGCCGAGAGCCCAGGTCAGCAGCAAGACTCACCATCAGAAGACGCACGGCCGAGCAAAAGGAGAAGACGAGAGGAGTCGCCTCCGAGTAAGATGGGGCATGCCCGGGCTTTGTTTGGAACGGCTTTAACTCTCACTCCGTTCTCGTCTTCAATACCGCCAGTTCGAAGTCAACCATTGCACGACAGGGCTGCAGCAAGACCAAAAGTCGCACCACCTGTCTCACGAGATGGCACATCAAGGCGTGCTGATAGAAGCTCGAAATCACCACCGCTCTCTCCTAACCCTGAAGAGGCGGAGACCAGCGCTTCTCGTCAGGCTGCACCCCGCCGAGTTCTTACACAACGGGCATCGTTAAAGGAGCTGCTGGCTGGTAATGAGCACAATCGGACTAGCGAAGTTCCTCGGATTCGAGAACCTCTGTTGAAGAATCGTGCGAAAGCCCCAAAGCCAGTGAAAACTCGACAACCGCCTCCCGAAGACGAGGTTGTTTCACTTCTCACCCAAGAGCCCGCAGCACCCAAACATCGCAGTGATGCAGCGGCGAATAGCTCACGCAAAGCCCGAGGACATCAGGACACCAATGCAGACAGACCAACCAAAACCCGAACATCTGCGCCCAAACCGTCGTCGAAAACAATTGAATCTGACAAAGGCGATGAAGAATCACCCGCAGCCGACGACGAAGCATTTCTCATGTGGTTGGCGGAAAGTGAGGATCCTCCAGCCTTGGACCAAACCCCGGTGCTACCTGCGGATAACCCCCCACCACGCCCGAAGAAGGCAAGGGGTGATTCTGCCCCAGCGATACAAAGGCCTGCAAAGGAGTCTGCCCGGAGGGTCGCCCAACAGCCCATCGTTGTCGATGAAGATGAAGACGAGGATGTGGAGGCGTTACCGCATCAAAAGACCTCCCGAAACCGCCCCGAGAGCTCAAAAACGTCCAAAAGAAAAGAGAAGAGCACGGCGGATCACAATGGAATGAAGCGAACACTGAGTACCGATATGGCATCCGCAACAGAAACCGATACAGACAAACCTCCTCCTGCGAAGGAACCGCGGACAGAGCTCAGGATCAGATCTAGGCAGCGGCGCGGACTGCTCATGTTGGCTCAAAGGAGAGAAGGAGGTCGACTAGGCTCAGCAGGAAGATCAGTTCCCCCCTCATCAGGAGCTGGAAGTGATATACAAAAAACATCACATACCATCGCCCGCGCGCCTTCGATTTCAGAAGAACCCCCTGCAATTGAGAGGATTACGACCAAGACGACCGCTTCCAAAAAGCGGCAAGACTCAGCTAAACCGAGTGAGCTTCATCACTCCATGGAGGAGCTCGATGACCAATCAATCGCGATTAATAGCCCGAATACAGAAGAGGCGGCCCGCGAGGAGGACTCAGATAATGAATCCGAGGCCCTGAAAGAGCCAGAGGTCGAACTTTTACCGAGTGACGATGCAATTTCAGCCAGTGAGCTTTCTGAAGAGAGGAGATCCCCTACACCCCCTCGCCGACGGACAAATCCAAGCCGACGCACACGAAAGAGGGCAGCCCCTGTCGTGCTCAGCGATAACGAGGGCGAAACCTCAGCATATGACTCCCCAGCAATATCTGACGATGAAGAAGGCTTGTCTCTCGCATCGAAAGCTGGTCGAAAACCTGAGCCCAAGTCCAGTTCCGGCCCACGTATCACCAAGATGTCACGGAAAAGCGTCAAGAGCAGAGAAATTATTGGTTTTGTTGTGCCAGATGAAGACTTTTCGATGGGTGGGTTCAACGTCGGCCATGCTGAGCTGGCTGAGGTCAAAAAGCCAAGCAACGACTTGAAAGTAGCTGAAAAGCCTCCAGTCCAAGCTCGCGACACAACAGAGACATCAGAAAGCCATAAGTCTGTCGATGGCAGAGTTGAAGTGGAACAACTACAAATGAATGAGAAAGAGCCTGAAAAGGAGCAACCTCCAACAAAAGCAAAGATACCCGGACCATCACGGTCTTCAGCGAATACGAAGGAACCAGACATAGTGCCGCGCTCCCCGAATAGTAGAGCACCTGAAGCAGAAGAACCTGCGTTGCAAGAAAAAGAGAGGGAGACCGAAATAGTACCAACCCCGACGAACGCGACACAGCCCGCAATAGGTCAACCAGCAACGAGGGTGCACGAGCAGGAAACCAGCGTATCCAAATCAGGTTCGAAGGTCCTCAAGGTACAAGAATCCTCAGCCAAAGAAAAGGAATCCAAAGAAGTACAGCCAGCGACAAGTGAAGAAGAACTAGGAACAGCACAACCATCGACGAAGGATAAAAACACTGAAGCAAAAGCCCCCTCAACGAGTGGAAAAAGGCTCGAAGCAGCACAGCCACCAGTCAATGGAAAAGAACAACAAGAAAAGCAACGACCGCGCATTGTGAACCCTGCGACTAGAGGTAGGAAAGCCGCAAGAAAACAAGATGCGGCCGGGTTGCCGCCCCAAACACTGGTTCAATTTGAGCCTGCTACTTCGTCTCGCATTGCTCCGGCGCAGCCGCCAAAGAAGATGGCTGCCCCCTTGAATAATGTGCCTCAATCAGAGTTGCCGGTGTTCTGCAGAGCAAATGGTGGTGCTTGGAGCAGGCATGCTGAGGATCTGCTAGGTATGACGAGACCTACGAGAAGAATGCCTCGACGATGATACGGCGCGGCTTCATTTTGTCTACTTGTGTCTACAGAGAAATTCTTGTAGGAAGGATCTTTCCGAGAACTACGTCGTTGCCGGGGATTACTGACTTTGTCTGACACGATATTTCTCCCGACACTACCTGTGAATACTTTTGACATTTCTGTCTTTCACACGGACCTCTTCGTCAGTAATCCGGACTTTACCTCCCCGTCTGAGCTGTCAACTCTCAGCTTTACTCATATTCTCTCCACTCGCAAAATAATGAGCTGAACCATATGGATGCTCTAGCTGCAGCACAAACAGAGCATGGCCGCGTATGCCAAGCAGTTATACGGGCGTATGAGCTCCATGAGCTACAGGCGGAGCACAAGCGCATGATTGCAAGGAAATGCTCTGAACGAGTTGACCCTCTGGGCCTGTACTTGTTGTTTGAGTAAACAGGGATCACGACAACTACTTCTGTTGTCTGATCCGATCTGCCGGCCAGCTCACCTCAAAGGCTCGCCAACGGTATGACGATGTACAGAAACTCTTGAGCAACAAGAACACTGGATGGTATAGCAAGCCATGCCATCTGACAGATTAGTTCTACACAGTCTTTGCAGACATGCCCTGTTGTGGAATCACCGGAACATCCTTGTGAGCGATTGAGCCTGCAGTGCCTCAGTTGTGCGTACAGAAGCATAGCGAGCAAGAAGCTCACAGCAGTGGATCTGCACAAAGTATCTACGAGTCGCCGATAGAGTCATCTCGGCGCCTTGCCATTAAGGTTTTGATGATTTATCAGCATGTTGGGGAACGGAATGGGCTACAGGCGTTAATGTGGCCCTCTGTTGGCGTCTATGGTGTTAGATTTCCTATTTGGACGTTTGATGAATACAATCAGAATGAGTCGAAGTTTAGGATGGTGTCTACCCCCGCAGCACCCCCTTGTTTTGTTTCTCGGCATGGTTCACGCGGCCAATATTTTGGTTCTGGTGTCGTGAACTAAGAGATGGACAAGGTGTGGATCCTGGGAAGTGTTGCGTCTGCTTACTTGATGCCCAGATAAGTACGGTTGGGCACAATGTTGCTGGTTCCACTGGAATATATAAGAGGCTACTGGGCCCGTCTTGTGTCTCTGATGGACCAACTCACCTGGCGTTCAAAACGGAGCCAACAATGCTATCACGAGTTTTGTTATGTCAAGACCAGGCTACGATCTGCCTCGGGTTTTTACACTTCAAGTTTTGACGAGAGTACAAGATTAGAGTTATCACTCTAAGTTTTGCCTTTGCCTCTGCATTTTGGCTTTATCTTCTCATATGAGAATGTCCACGCAGTGTGAGACGAGATAAAGTTACGTGGTATGAAGAACGAAGAGTCATAACTGAAGAGATGTCAATAGGTAGTTTACACAATAATGATATGATGATTCGGCGTTTCCCCAGTTGATCGATGATCCTTGAGACTACCTAGGTATTGAGACGAGATATCACTCAACCAACAATGGCTGGGCCTCCGACTTAACCGTAGTGTAACTAACACATGGGGTCGAACGAGTTTCAAATCTGGGGTCGCAGAAGTTGAGTCATCCTCGTATGCGGGCTTGAAAGCATTGACCAACCAAGAATGCTATTCTCTCGCCGAAGTCTTAGCTCTGATGGTGCAGATGGTGGGTCAGGTTGACCAATGGGCATATCTCTTGGGGCGGATCTTACAAAAGTCCAGGGCTCTGATTGGTGGCTCGGTGTCACTCTGCCTTGTCGCGCTTTGCCTTTTCGAGCACGCCGAAAGACTCAATCTCCTCCACTCTGACTTTCCCTCCAAGTGCTGCGCCATGCTTCCGCCCGGGCACCTGCGGCTTCCATCAAACAGACAGTGAAATACTCGGACGACGCCCTCCCCCGTGGCCTCAGGCGTTTCCTCCTTCACTTCCTCTTCCTCGTTACTATCACGACTAATTCGATTATTCGATCAAGAGAGTATCTTGTATCGCAATAGTCCTCTCAGTACTACAGTACACTAAACAAAAACACAACACACACGCTAGACCAACACCGAAACTGGCGACAAGTTCGGTACCTCAAGGCTTTGCCTATCTCTCTATCCCCCTTCACTTCAATCTGATACGTGTCAACGAAACAAGACTCTACGCATCTCTCTTGGCGCACTCTTCCTGTTCCTCACTTGCACGTCCCATTTCGAGCGACCTCAAAACACCATAGTCTCTCGTTTGACTCTTTGACAAGTACCCGAACGCTTCACGTGAGAGTAAGCAGGTCGGAGTAAGCAACTATCCGAACCTGTCACACCTAATGCACCGATCGACTAACACAGTTGTGTCTAGCCATCTGACGTGACCTACCAAAGCTCTCCAGGATATCGGATTTGGAGAGTATTCCAGCAGTTCCAAGGCCCCGTTACCGTTTTCAAAATTCCGCCTTTTCAAGTAACTTTGAACGGAAATTTTGTGCTTGCAATGGCGTCCAACAGCAATACTCTTCCTCAAGGATTCTCGGTTTTCCAGCCTACTCTCGGTGCTCAGCTCCAGTTCTTCCCTGCCATCGGCACCCGTGAGCTCGATGAGATGATCAATGCTTACATGCCTGGTCCCGCCTCCAACCAGGAGAAGCGGGCCAGCATCGCTCTCGACTACTTTGAGTATGCTCACCTGACTGGCCAGACCTTCAAGTTCTACCCTATCTACTCTGCTGCCGACTCTCCCGCTACTGCCAGCCCCCTTCAGGATTCTGGTTATGGATCTTCTTTCAACACCAGCCCCGCTACCTCTACCTGGGATTGGAGCAATGTGAACACCTCAAGCTCTTCTCGCCGCTCATCTCCCAAGTCAACCTCCAGCCCCCAGGCCACCGATTTCTCGAACCTCCCTGGCATGAAGATCATGACCAAGGATGGACGTGATGTGACCAACTCTGCTTCCCGAGGATCCAAGACAAAGGAGCAGCGAGATCACGCACATCTCATGCGAATCATCAAGGCTTGCGACAGCTGCAAGAAGAAGAAGATTCGCTGCGATCCTAGCCACAAGAAGCGTGGTGTTTCCAGCACAGCGGCTCAGCCTGCCAAGGTGACTAAGAAGTCGAAGACAGTGGCTCCAGAACCCAAGGCCACTCCTGTTGTTATTCAGGATGCCTTTACGCAATTGACATTCCCCGAGCAAGACTTCTCAGCCGAGCTCGACAGCTTGGCTGCTCCTGCAGAACAGGGAGTCGAGCCATGGGAGCAATTCGTTCAGTTCCCCGCTGAGGATGACAACTACGACTTCTTCAATGACCCCGAGGGCTACTTCTCTCCTGGATCCTCCTCCTTCCTCTCTGAGGACTCTACGAAGCCTGTTACTCCCACGACAGACCAAGACTTACTCCGTCGTCCACGCGACGAGGACCTAGCAGGGCTCACGGATCTTGCGGCGTATATGCCATACAACCAGACCGAAGCCAATCACGACTATGTGGACTTCAACCTGTACTCTCCTGCGTCAGTCTTCTCTGAAGATGAGCGTATGGTCCCGATTGAAGTTTCCAAGCAGTCTCTTAGTCAGCCTAGGTCACCAGCACCGAACCCACTACCGCCAAACGAGCCCTCGAGTGGCTTCTATAGTAGTGGCGGCGAACTTGGCGGCGGCGACCTGAATGGCGATCTGTTTGGATCGCTTTCTGTGGCCCCATCATCCGCACCTCAACAACTCACTACCCATGGCCAGCTCGGCCGCGAAGACGTCTATCGCGACCCTGGAGCTGGCCTGGAGTATTACGCCGCTACCCCAGAGTCTAGTCTCGGCTCGCAACTCCTGAGCTCGAGCGCCAACTCACTGTCAGACCGTGACGCGCAAGGCTCTGTGTCTGACCAACTGTCCTCTGTGGACTCTCAGCTATCCACGAATAGTAACGTACGTGTCTCACTGATCATCTCGCTTCTGATGGAATGGCAACTAACTTCGGAGAAGGTGACAATTAGTCGCGATATTATCGAGGCCCGCGGAGTAACAACAGCACAATCAGAGTCTCTACCACTAGAGACAACTACCACCACTACAACCGCCACTACTACCACGACACTGGGCACGCAGTCCACAGAGACGATAGCACAATCAAGCTATCAACCAATCGTGACGGAAGGCACAGAAGATTCATCCGGTTGTCGAACATCCGAGAATCACACTGTGACCGCCCAAGCGGTTCTCCAACGTGTCGATGCGCAAGGCGGCCTACAGCAACCAGCTTCTCAAGATGCAGAGACTCACAATGTGGCGGAAGATATATCCCAACCTTCTCCCGCGCCCGTTGTGCCAGCTCACCAGACGACTGGCTCGGACACTCAACCTGACCAGTCAAGCATGGAAGCATTTGCATCTATTGCTGCGATGTTGATCGCCTCGACCGTTTGGTCTTTTGTCTCTCAGCAGTTTGCCATCCAAGACAAATACCGGGAGCAGCAGACACAAACCGCTGCACTCAGTCAGCGAAAGGTCTGCGGAATGCAGAGCTCGATACGAAACGGCAAGACGTCAGTCGGTCGAATGGTCTCGATGAACAGAAGTCTCATCGCTGTGTAGCGATGAATCCTTGTTGCGCACCAGGTGGAATGAATGGAGTTGGTATACAGGCTTTTGGCTAGAGTCATGATAGAGCTTGCACCCTTTTTTATTTGTTTTATTATTGCATTTAGCATTGGGAGTGAATGGCCGCGCAGTTGCGCCGGTCTTAACAAGGAATGGCTGTTGCTATAGAGCGAGCATCGAGCCCAAAATCAATTGAACTGGCCTCCAAGGCCGTATAATATTTAAAATCTGTTCCTCGGTGATGCGATCTATGCTGCCCTGCCAGGTGATGTGAGTACCACCAACAGCAAAGTTTGTGTTGGTTGTCTGTGACGGAGACGGTACCACCGTATTCTGAATCTGTGTTCCGTAAACTCTGGGTGGCTGTGATTTGATGAGCGATTAAGAAGGCGGGTCATGTGTATTAGACGGTGGATCAAACAGGGATTAGCGCAAGAATGGAAGTATGAAATCTTCTCTCAAATTGATGAAGGACAAGAGTATCTTGAACTCTTTCTCTTACCTTTTCAAGGTTGGTGGAGGGAAACTTTGATAAGCCATCTATTCAAGGCCAAAAAGGAAAATTTACTCTTTTTGTCTCTCATTAATTTGTTTCTGGGATCGTAGGAAGACACAGCACGACGATACCTTGATCCTTTTTTGTTCCGTGGCATCTGTACTGTACGATCGATTGCCTGTAATCTAGCGATTGCATCTGGCGATGAGCTTAGAGTGACAGCCAACTTCTGGTCTATCATTTGAGTCTTCTTGTTAGGCAGGTCTCGTGTGAGCTCTGATTAAGCTCATCGGATTATTGTTATCCATTGTCCGAATTGTTAATACACCAAGGCCTGTGTTACTTGGGTTTGACACGACATTTGGTGTCAGCCTATTGTTCCAGACGGAGGAACAAAGGACCAGGGTCGAGGAAGAAAAAAGTAAAAATCAGAAAGAGAAGGAAACTATTGGATAAGACTGAAGGGATTTACGATAACGAGGGTACGAAGGTGAAGGGGTTTGTCACTGAGAAGTCAAGAGGAGGATTGAAGTGAAGCCTGGAGGATTGTGAGTGAGTGAGTGAGTAGGCGAGGGAGGGAGTGAAGGTATTCACAGGAGGCTCAAATAAGGGGACAAAGCCAAACATGGGAGTTTTCAAGTCACTTGGTCTTTCGCCGGCCAAAGCGGCAGGTGCAAAGGCCTTTCGTCGTCTTTTTGGGCGGGTTCTTCCAGGCGAGACTGACAGTGCCAGTGCCAGTGACACTGATCAAACGGGCAGGGGCAACTCCAGCAACGACAGTAATATTCAGAGGGAGAAAAGCAACAAAACAAACCCAGATTCTTCATCTACAAAACATCATAATCGCCATCAACAAGACGCTCTCACCGATACCGAAACATCTGCAACTGCCTCCGATATGGCGTCGCCTCAGAAGCACGTCCCCCAGGGGATCGTAGACAAGGAGAACCAACCGCCCAGCACGGCCCAGTTATCAGATTCGCTCTCCCGTCTGAAGATCGGAGAAAAGAAGGCCGTCGCAACATCCCCCAAGCCCCTCGTTTCCACTGCCCCTGCTGTTGCTGCTGACGATGCAGCTCCCGCCGTTGAGACTGTACCTGGTGTCCCCATCTACACAGACCCAGCTGTCATAGCGGAGCGAGCGATACACATGAAGTTCACTGAAGAAGCTCTTGACATGGTAGGTCAATCAATACACTTGGACATGGCAAACCGTCTCCCGCCCTCTACCGAGACTGTGTATCCCCTGCGACCCTTAACCTCTGGCTAACTCCAACTCAGGCGCGACTTGCTCTCAGAACAAACGAAACACCCGTGGGATGTGTTCTTGTTCACGATGGAAAGGTCATTGCTCGAGGCATGAATGCAACCAACGTCACTCGAAATGGTACTCGCCATGCTGAGTTCATGGCCCTCGGCGCTTTACTCTCTTACCCTCCCAAGAATGGACCAAGGACAACCTACCTGAAGCCCAAGCCCGAGAATCAGTCACCTGAAGCTTCTGATGCATCTTCTGTCGAGTCAAGCCCAGCCGATGAGGGCAATGAGGATGGATCCAAGGGCCACCTCTACCCTTATGGTCAGAAGTGTCACCCTGATGCGCGAGTTGATAGATCCATCATTCGGGAGAGCACTTTGTACGTCACAGTAGAGCCGTGCGTCATGTGTGCTTCTCTCTTGCGACAACTCGGCATCAAGAAGGTCTACTTCGGCGCAGTCAACGACAAATTCGGCGGAACAGGTGGTGTCTTCAGTATTCATGCCAACTCGCTTCCTGTCAGCGCTGATGGCCAGACTGCCAGCGCACACCCAACACCAAAGCCTGCGCAGCTTCCTGATGGAAGCGGCACACTGGGCGTCTCGTACCCTCCTGGTGGAGGAGACGGTGGAAATCTCGAATCTGGCTACGAGATTGAGGGTGGATGGGGTCGCGATGAGGCCGTCGCCCTGCTGAGACGATTTTATGTCCAGGAGAATGGACGAGGTAAGTGACACGAGATTGCTTAACTTCTTTGACTGATGTGCTGACTTTATAGCTCCCGTACCTCGCAAGAAGGAAGGTCGTGCAGCTCGATTGGCTGCCATGATGGGGGGTGAGGGTGCTGGCGAAGGCACTGGCGAGAGCAACGGTGAAAGCAACGGAGAGGACAATGACGAAGGCAACGACGACGAGAACGGCGAAGAGCCAGCAACCCCGGATCTTGCTGCCACAGAGGCCGAGTCCCAAGTCCTTGACCTACCCACTTCAACTCAAACCCTGAAGGAAACGCCTGCACCACTAGGCGATCGTACCAACGTCTAGAACGGCGTTGTCGCGATGCCACTGCCGCATCTGCGCCGAAAGAGTAACACAGAAAATGAAGGAGCCAAGGAATAGGTGGCTACATCCCATGGAACACACCTGATGTAACAGCACCCATCAGCTCTACGAGACACACGTGCCAAAGTATTGAGAGCACAACTGGAGAGGATAAACTCATTTCAGGCGTTGGAGGGTCAAGTTGTAGTTTCGGTGGACTTTTGAACAGAATTGCGGTGGGAGGATGGCATTTGACTTTTACTTGATGCATCTTGGGCGAGCATGACGTTCAAGCGGAGGACATGGTGTGCGAGCCGCTGAGTTCCAGCTGATTTGAGGTAGGAAGAATGCTGTCATTGTATGATGTTGTGGTTTGTGATAGCACAATACACCTATGAATAAGATAATGTGTCGTCATGGAGTCTTGGGTAAATTACCCTGCATGACAGTCTCTACCATGAAGAGTGTAGATCACAACAAGACCGGCAATGCTGGACATGGAGGCAGAAGCTAGACTAAGTGATTTGTTGAGTTTGGCGGGAGCAAGTTACTGATTCGCTGACTAGATCCCTGATCCTATTCCAAATCTCTACTCGCTCGTGTATGCGCTGAAGCAAGTGACACCCGTCCTTCGAGTCAATGTAACGACCGTGTATCTACTTCTACTGCCACTGGAGTCCAATCTACTATCTTGCGCATAATTAGCAAATGATTGATGTTTGACCTACTCGTTGTACAGAGTTCCAACAATACCACTGGGCCCAATTAGGCTCGACAAGCCCTTGAAACTCCGCTCAGCTGCCCCTGATACGGACTGGCCATGTCCATCCTCTCCTTAGACACCCCTTTTCTAGCTCTGTGAGGCAGGTCTTCGCTCTTGGCGACAGCAAAGACTGAGCGTTACTCCTATGCGTAAGCCACCCTTCAATCTCTTCTTCAACCTTTGGGCCGAAATCTGTGCCACGGCCGATTCTCCTCCCCTGATCAGATGCGAGCCGCCTGAGATAAGACCTCCGAGAGCGCCCAACGCGGCGCCAGGTCCAAACGCCGTGCCTGCTTCTTCATACAGACTGAAGTGGGTGCCGTGGAACTTGCTCTCAGTTGCATTGCATGCCACGGTCGTCCACAGCGACGATATCGCGCTGATTAAGGTCTTACTGCTGAGAATTGGTACCGCACTAATGACATCCTCTGTTGTAGTGGCAATTATCCATCCAACTGCCTGTCCGAGGTGTCTAGATGCGCTCATCACATTGGCCAGCGAAGTCATTGCCCCTAAAGCACCTATGGCTCCCCTGATAGTCGCATCAACGAGCACCATGGCCAGGAGATGAAAGAAAACTCAGGACCTCAGCCGCAAGCGATGGAAATGCTTAGGCAAGTCTAGCTTAAGCTTAGGGGACTCTTTAAGTTTCATCCACTGATCGTGTTCCAGCAGCTACGGATGGGCGTGTGGCAACCGTGAGGGCAATGACTCCAATGACGGAGGCAGCGCCGAGGACAGCACCACGTGTAGCTGATAACGACCAATGCCCGGAAGTATCAGTACGAATCCTCGAGTCGTTGTTCCCGAACGCCAGTCGATTGAGCCCATCAGTCCTGGCGATGCCCTCGAGCCCCAGGATGTCATCAGGCGTGGTACAGCGGCCAGTTAAGGATCTGGATCTGAAGTCATAAAGCTCGGGGCCTTCAGCAGGATTTCTACTTTAGTACGTTGAAGTCTAGTGAGAGCTCGTATCGCTTGGCTGCACTCTCTTGATCTTGGATGCTCCAAAGTCATCGTGAACTATGGTTCGAGGAGACTTCCATCGGCGCCCTTGAATTGATGTGTTACGTTCCCTTTTGACACCGTTCAAAAAGGCTGATGAGACCCGGGCGTTTCTAGAGGCGTGTGCCCTAGACTTGTGTGAGACTGTCTTGCTGCAGCTTCCGATCCAGATACTAACAAGAACCAGTTTTATCGTGATGATCTTTGAGACGCCCTTCTTGATCTGAACGTTATAGTCATCGCTGATTATCAAGAGGGAGCCCCCGTTTCCAGGCTCCTCTGGTTTCACTGTTTTGCCATCTGGTGCGCCTGTCATGGCTGTTGTTTTACATCTTACAGGGGCAGAGTTATAGTTGAGTTGTAAACTTGAAGCTCCAGTGTTCCTGCGGATTGCCCTCTCACGTCTATCATGCAGGATATCGAAAGCTGTTACGGCACTTCGCTTTCCAGTTGCCCAGTTGTCTCTGTACGAAATGGTTGTGCCCGGTTTGGCGAGGAGTTGCCTGATGGATCATACGCACCGTCTTCACGGTTGTCTTTCCGATCTGTGAATTCTTGAGACGCTTACCTTCACAGTTGCATCCACTGATCGCGTTGGAAATGGTGTCAAGATTTTACACAAGTTAGTCCCTATGCTGTAGTAGATGAACCTTGAACCCAGGACTTGGTGTCTGAGGAAGATTGGCCCAACTGGTGAAGGTAGCGGCTGAGGGTGTACGACTGGAGATCATACGCAAATAGGTGCTTAAAGTATCTCTATCCGTCGGCCTTGCCAAAGTTAGGGTTGTTGGGCTTGTCCGTAGCATCACTACATGTCTCTCGCCGACCTCCTGGTTCGTCAGCGTACATTTCGCTGTATCCATGCATATATCTAAGGCACTTATACAGTTGTGTAGCACCATTAGGATAAGACTTGGCCAATACCTGTCCCTGCCAATCATACTCGAAAACTGGTTTGTAGTTAACCCGAAGCTGGCTTTATATACCCAATACTCCCGAGTGACATGTGTATCTATTGAGCCGCTAGTAGCGTCATTACCTTGTCTCAAGCGTTGCATCCTCTTCGGTCCAGCACAATCAACAGTAGAGTTCTTAGTTTTACCCAATATATGTGCCATTAAAGTACGATAAAGTCGACGATGTCAAATACGAGTTCCATGCCGAGCTCTTGGGGAGGTCATAGTCGTACTCCTGAACTGGATCTAGGATACATTTGTGAAAGCTTCATAAAGTTGCTTGACGTGGGAAACACCGTGGGCAGAAGCTCTCTGGCTATAGTTAAAAGAGTCCTTACGACCTTACTTTGCATATGTGCCTCGATAGTTCTGCCGAAGCCATCGACGCCAAGGCATTGAGTCGCCCTCGTCTCACGTTTGGTCAGTATTTAGCCACTTGGCATGTCATATGCAAGAAGTTGGACGGAATTGAGGCCACGGAAATTCTCTACTCGTCGAGTTGAGAGACTGTAAAAGCAGGAATAATAGGTAGTCGTGGTCGTGGTGCCGGCAATGCCGTTGGTTGATATCTCATTGCTGTAACCATCGAACCCGTGTTTGGAGGGCAAAAGGTCTCCAGATCGTCCGAGAGCCTCCTCACGAATTCAAGAACGGTAGCCTTGCTGTTGTATGCTGAGTCAAATTCGCTTCTCCCTGTTGGAACACAGTAAAGTCCCGATTAATTTCAACTCAGCAGAGTTTTATGGTCGTCATGAGACGTGTGATGCCTCGAATGAAGGTATAACAACAGTTTCCTCGAGACTAGAAGATAATCTGGCCTTGCTGACGTTCTGGAACCTATTTAATGATGAAGTTTCAGATGCCGTCGTAGGGGAATGGTCCGCCTGCATCCGGCCTTGTTCCCCCTTCTTTCTCGTGCTCGTGGTATATCTTATTGGCAGACCAGGCATTTGAAGACCGTGTTTGGTGCTTGAAGCTCGGCATTTCCGAGAATAATATTCTGTGCCTCATCTTTATTGATGACGTAGAATAGGGTGTTTCAAACAGGCCCGTTGGCACTTTCTCTGGAAAGGGTACCTCCGAACATGGAATCGGCCCTAGAAGTTTGGGTGAATTTACTGTTATGAAGAAACGGAAAGACGTTTGAAACCAATTCAAGTTATGTCCATGGCCATGAAACTGGACTTTGCTACCAAGGGAAAGTTGGTCTACTCAACTTCTTGAGCCGCAGTGAGCCCAACATCATCGCTCTGTAAGAGGAGAAACCGGAGCATCCTGCCGGCGTTTTGATATGGTATGTTCAAGTCTGAACGGCCGCTACCGTGAGAACCAAGCGTCGAGAAATCAGGCATCTCCGCATCTAGGCTCGTTGGCTACGACTCCTGAAGATGTTGAAGAGGCCATCAGCACTTGCATCAGCACTGCAGATGAAAGTAGCAACCTCGAAAAACTATGGGGCATGCAATTTATGCAAAGTTATAGCTTCCATACAAGTTGCGAGAGATCTTGTTGATAAGAACCAACAACGCGTGCAGGCCAGTCACTTCCGACAGGGCCAACCAGTCTCGGTCGGTCTATACTGGCCTGTTTGGCGACTTATGTAAAAAGTGAAAACCGTTGTATAAGCATTACAACCAAATTCTTGAACAGCTGGGTGTCATTCCCAAAACGCTTCCTCGGGATGAGGGCACAACAATCCGTGCTCATGTCACAGCACATTCACTTGGACCTTCATACTCAAGTATGTGCTTTACTAAGCTGTTGATCGACGCCCCCAAGTTCCTCCTGGGGCCCAAGATGGGTAATGAGTATTTATACTAATTTATATGCCTGTGGCAGCCTCATTCATACTTCCATCATAACAAGTGAAACCAATAGTTTGTTAGTGCATAAGTATCGTAAGTCGCCGGCTCCATAGCTCGTAACCCCACGAAAGCTTCCACTGCCATAACAACTCGTGTTACGAGATAAAGCAACGGACTTGCAACCTTGATAACAGTCAATGGCCCATCCCATGTAAGACTCATTTTCCTGAACTGCATGCAGACAACTGATGTTATGACTGAAAAAAGAGCGCTGACTCGCCATAGCCAACGCTCTGCCTCTGACGGGAAAGAGGAAGTCCATGATATCAGGTGAATGGCTCCGAAGGATGCCCCTAATAGGCAAAGAAGTGGCCACTATCTTGTCATGTATAGACCTGAGTCCCATTCAGTGATGACGTTGTCAGCCTCGACTTCAGTGACAGTCGGTTCGACTTTTTGGGACTTGGGCTCGGTCGTAGAAACGCTTTCTTCTGCATCTCGTTCTAGATCCTCCATGACACCGACTTCGTCGTCTCGATAATCGCGCGGTACAACGTACCAAGCGATAGAATTGTCCTGTTTTTGATCGGGATCGGAAACGTCATAGGTGTTTTCCATTACCAGACTCTCGAACTTCTCCCACTGAAGAGGGGTTATTTCTGGCAAGCTAACGAACGAGGCGGTGACGATATCCTTAGGCTTCTCCCACCAGAAGGCATACGTGACTAGGCCGTTGAACACGTAGGCCAGCGTCATGGTCTCGATAGTTGCCAAAGGAAGATGGTGAGCTGAGCGTGTGATGCACTGTACCGTGAACCATACGACCTGAAGAAGAGCGGCCAGTTTCACCAGACCATCAGCCTTGTTCTTATCAGCGATCTCTTCCCTAGCAAGGCCCCAACTTTTATGATCCTGCCATGATACCAGACCGTTATTCAAGAGCCAGGCATACTGGCCAGGCCAGAGAGTTCGGTAACCCCCATTATGCCCAGATTTATAGCGGACACCCATCATGCAGAGATAAAAGCCATGCACTGTCTTGAACTCATTGTTCGTAGTGGCAGCACATCGTCTGACAGCTTTGCGAGCTTGTAAGAACTCTTGCAAAGACTCGAGGCATACCATCTCAGGTGCCAGGACGGCTTTGACAAGCTGGTAGAACTTGTGCTGATGCCGAAGCTGACGAGAGACATGAATACGTGGATGAATGGCCGTCCACGTGCAGATGGCGATGGTGAATAGGCAAGACGTGATAAGAGACCATGTGCCGCGGTTTGAATCCTCGGGGACCCAGCCCACGAACTCAGTTTCCGTCGATCTGCTGGTCTCTGTGCCGTTCATAGGTAACGTAACTTCAGCGAACTTGATATCGATGGTTAGAGCTTAACATGTGATAGAGAAAGGCATGGTCGTTGTAGTTAATGCCGGGAAGCAAAGTATTTCAGCTCGACTGTACAGCATCATGAATAGTTTCTTGCGTACCAACAACGCGAATAGCATCATGCTCAACCCAATGAATCGTTGTCATTCTTAAGAGTGTTGGTTCCATCTAGGAACGGGCCGCATATATTAAGAGCCTGAAGTCAAATTTAGCATGTGTCCCCCACCAAATTGGCCAGTGAGGTGTTGTAATCCGCTGATTTAGCGCCCGTCCCTCGAGTTTTCAGGGGCATGGCTGCTTACGTGACGCCTGAAACTCCACCATGTGATAACGGCCAACATCTCAAGGTGCGTTACTTCTTGCATCTTGACACTTCAACCAAAACATTTGCTTTTGTTTGCCTGCAGCCCTGGGCCATTCTCTACTTAACTTGGTCTGTTGCTGTCTCTTTTACTGGCCTCTTACCAAAATGGCGGCATCTTCAGCCCTGAGGCCGACGATGCTGGCGCTTGGTCTAACACTTGGCGTTCCAGCCATGCTGTATTTCAGTATTTTGGGAGCGTTGGTCGTTGCGCCCTCTCTACAAGCTCACGCAATTTACCTCCACAAAGTTACTTTGACGTGGTTCAAGGATCTTAATACACCGGAGCAATTTGGATTCGCTCATCACCAAGTTACACCCTTCTACATCTCAACGCCGGACGGAGTCAAGCTGCACACATGGCATGTACTCCCTTTAGCGACATACGAGTCACACCAAGAAGAATTGTTGGCCCAAGGGCCCGACGGCGGATTGGTAGACAAGTTTGAAGAAACATTGAACTTCCGCCTACTAAAAGAGAACCCAAATGCTCGATTAGTGCTTTACTTCCATGGCACCAGTGGAACCATGGCCAGTGGTTGGCGCCCTGATAGCTACCGCTCTCTCTACTCAGCTGATCCCATCAACACCCACGTTCTGACATTCGACTACCGTGGGTATGGAGAATCAACCGGCTCGCCAAGTGAAGATGGTATCATTATGGATGCTGTCACTGTTGCCAACTGGGCTATTCATACTGCAGGCATCCCCCCTGAGCGCATTGTCATCTTTGGCCAAAGCCTGGGATCAGCGGTAGCCATCGCTCTTGTCAACGAGCTCGCCCAAAAGAAACCCTCCGTTCATTTCGCTGGCCTGGTGATTACAGCTACCTTTGCCGATGTCCCCCAATTGACGGCCACGTACCGCATTGGCGGTTTTATCCCTGTGCTCTCCCCGGTAGCGAAGGTGAAGCCGCTATTTGCTTTCTTCGCCCGACAACTCTCCAGTACCTGGGATAACATGTATAGACTGGGCGAGTTCGTCAAGGCTGCTGAGAGGTACGATGTCACCCTTTTACATGCCGAGGATGACACCGATATCCCCATGGAGCATTCAATCAAGCTTTACAGGGAAGCCGTCCGTGCTGCAGAGGGAGTCAAGGACTTGGCCGAGAATGATGAGGAGCTCCTCAACAGGATTAGCAGTTTCGAGAAGAGCCGCGGAGCAGGGGGCTCAATGACCGTATGGCCTACCAGCAAGGGCAACATTAGACTCGAGATTCTAAAGTACGGAGTCCATGACAAGATCATGGCGTATCCTGCGACCGGACTTGCGATAAGCAGGGCGTTCGCCTCCGTCCAGCAATAGAGGGGCTTAGAAGATACAAAATATAGACGCGATTTCTTTCTCCAATCAACCGAGCCGACTTCATCGTCGAAAGCGACCTCCATTCAGCACTCTATCTCTCATCTTGGGCCGGCTGGAGAACCGCCTTCATTGCGCAACGTATCGCCCAACAACACTGGGACGGCGCAACACTTGCAGTGACAGGTCGGCAGATACTAAGCTAGGGGCAAATTGAGAGCAATGGCATTTGAGGAGCGCATCGGCAACTAGATGCTATCGTGGCTTAGGAGTGAGTCTGCCCAGCATCCTGGCAACCTTCAGGGCTCACACAGTCGTGGTCATATACCAAAATGCTAAACCAATAGGCACATACAACCAAAGGTAGTGGAAAATACGGGATCCCGTCCGCTCTCCCATAGTCAAGCCACTAACCGGCGGATTAGTAGTTGGGTCGGTGACGACCAGCGAATCCCCGCTGTTGTATGTTTTTGCATATCTCGCCTTTTTGCCTTGTACTTCAATATATCTGGACTTGTATCAGCTGTAGAGACTGCCAATCTATTGTTCACTTCCTTCGTCCTCTCGGTTTGAAGCCGTCACGAACACTGAGTTGGTGCCAATTGTCGCCAACATGATTCCATAGACTTACAAGTTACATGCCTTGTGCCCATTATCGCTCGAACCGTTTACGTGAACAGTGAGGTACGTATACTCTCATTGAACGAAGCCGTAAAACTGGTTAATTGGGATGAGTAAGGCTGTCTCGAGAGCAGTGCACAATGCTCTCTTATCAAGGCAACAAAACCTCCAAAACCAGGAGAAGACATGGTATTCAAGGTAGCAGCCGTTCAACGTTATGTTAACGTTATCGTAACGTTATGCATCCTTCAGCTGATATAATCTCTAAAGTTGTTAATGGAACTGAACATTGTTGAAACGGTATTTAATCTCAAATTGCTTCACAGGACGGCGGGTGAATATCAACTCTTCATTTCTCACATCAGACAATCACCACCATCATGACTGGAAGCAGACACCGCAACGTACTTGTCACTGGAGCCAATGGTTATATCGGCTCCGCAGTTTGTCGAGCCTTTGTAAGAGCAGGCTGGAATACCTATGGTCTCATCCGAAACCCACAAGCTCAAGAGGAACTTGCACTCTCTGAAATTATTCCAGTAGTGGGATCTTTTACTGATCTCAGTTTCCTGGAAACACTTTTCGAAGAGGTCAACACTTTCGATGCCATCGTCAGCTGCACGGAAAAGATCCCAGGCTATGCTGCACACTTTGAAGAGGTTATGGATTGTGTGAAGAGATTGGCTCAGAAGAGCAACGAAAACGGAGTCCGACCTCTAGTTCTCTGGTCGTCTGGCTGCAAAGACTACGGAATGACTGGTCTTCACGGCACACCTGGCCTTGCGCCTCATACTGAAGAGTCTCCTCTGAATGCACCCGAGATATTGAAAGAACGTACAACGAACTCTGCCAGGGTCTTCGACTACACGGAGCTCTTCGACGCGGCGGTCATCAGACCAACATGTGTATTTGGATATTCAAACAGCTACTACGGTGCTATATTCAACTATACTGCTGATCAGCGAGAAAAAAGATCCGAGGTTCTTCGGATTCCGGGAGATCCCGATAGCATCATGCACGCAACTCACGTTGATGATTGCGGCGAGGCCTATCTTTCTCTTGCGGAACTTGAGGATCGACGAGCTGTAGGTGGCCAGTTCTTCAATGTATCTGGCTATCGCTATGAGACCCTCAAGGAGGTTGCAGAGGCTGTAGCCGAAGAGTACGGGTTTGACGGAGGCGTTCAATTCGTCCCAGCATCTGAGGCAGAGGCATCATTTCCACCAGGACTGCATTTCGTCTTCAGTTTCAGTCAATGGGTAGGAAGTGAAAAGCTGCGATCTTTGACAGGATGGAAAGATAAACGAGCGTTGTTCTCAAAGGGAATACACGCTCATAGGCTGGCCTACGAAGCCTATAAAGGTCGGGGTTATGGTAACGTCGTTGAAGTGCAGAAGCGGATTGGAGGGAACTTTACGGATAATGCAGAGAATTAACAGGGGCACAAAAATAGCCTTGGACGACCAAATGCGACTCGGCATCTAGAAGCCGGGACTAGCCCCTGTAGATGAGGTGCCCTGAGTCCGGGAGGTACGGAAACAGCTGTAGAATGACGTAAGGCAGAGACAAAATGAACAGAAACGAATTTATTCGGATCGCCGGACTCAGCTGGTACCTATTCATGTGATACTTACAAGGTTCTTCCACTAAGAACCTGAGTCATTCCAAACAATTCTCTCTTATCAGCACCTCGGCACCGCTGGAAGACCCAATTCAACTAACGTTAGAGCACTAAATGAGGCAGGCAGTTGATCACTATTCAAAGCCAGTGCAAAGGGTCAGACAGAGTTTGGGTCTAGACCAGACTAAACCAATCCCTGGCCAGTCAATCTCCTCTACCGTCTGACATTGCATCGTGCTAACGTTTAGCAGATGGAGAGGTCCAAACATTTAAATCTTACCTCGACCCCACAAGCGACTTGAAGCGCAATGGATTGTCAATCTCAACGTCTTTGGCCTTGAACGATAACGAGCGTGTGTGCCTCAATTGACCTCTTCAAACTTCATCCTCCTCCCACTACACGCCCTACAAGATGGACCTCAGTCGCATCAAGTCCCATGGACTCGGCCATGTCGCGATTGATGACAGTGACACCAACAATGGCCCTTCAGGCAATGTCATCGACGATGGTCGCGTCAAAGTTCAATTCCACGACACTCCCCAAGCCCTGGCCCAATGGTGCGAACACCTAAAAGAGGCATTCGCAGCCGACGGTGCAGATTCAGAGCATTTACTACCGCCCAAGCCGTCAAAACCGCGTCGAACAAGCACTGTCGCTTTCCTCCCGGGTGTAGAGAAGCCAGCCGAAGGTCCCCGACTAAATATTGCCATCCATATCGTGGGCTCTCGAGGCGATGTCCAACCATTCATTCCGATCGCACAATTATTGATGAAGCCTCCCTACGGTCATCGAGTACGAATATGCACACATGCTAGTTTCAAGGAGTTTGTGGAAGGTCAAGGTGTTGAGTTCTTCAACATTGGAGGAGACCCCGAAGCTCTCATGGCGTACATGGTAAAGAACCCTGGATTATTACCAAACAAGGACAGTCTCAAGGAAGGCGATGTCGGCAAAAGACGAAAAGAAATGATGGAGATTATCTCTGGTACCTGGAGGAGTTGTATCGAGGCAGGCGATGGAATGGGAGACCCTGTGAAAGCGGCTACCGTGGAAAACGTGGATGATCTATTCCTTGCGGATGTTATCATCGCCAATCCTCCATCGATGGGCCACATTCACTGCGCTCAAAAGCTCAACATTCCATTGCACATGGTCTTCACAATGCCCTGGTCACCTACCAAAGCGTTCCCTCATCCTCTGGCGGCTATGAGCTACGGAGATGCCGACGCCAAGGTCGCCAACTACCTCTCTTTCATGATGATGGAGCTTCTAACATGGCAAGGGTGAGTATCTGTGTCTGCCTTCGAGCCATTGACTGACAATTCTAGATTGGGCGACCTCATCAACAAGTTCCGCCGTCAAACACTTCATCTCGACCCCATTAGTCCGATGTGGGGATTCCAGCTTCTCTCCAGACTTCGCATTCCATACAGTTATCTCTGGTCACAAACATTGATTCCCAAGCCTTCTGACTGGGACGATCACTTGAATATCACTGGCTTTTCCTTCCTACCACTCGCCAGCTCTTACACGCCCCCTAAAGACCTTCTGGACTTTCTCGAAGCAGGACCTCCACCAATTTATATCGGATTCGGGTCAATCGTGGTCAAGGATCCGCAAGCGCTCACCAATATGATCTTGAAGGCAGTCGAGCTCGCGGGTGTTCGGGCGATCGTGTCGAAAGGGTGGGGCGGAGTCGGAGTTGGCGAAGTCCCCGACAACGTCTATCTCATCGGGAATTGTCCGCACGATTGGCTCTTCCAACGAGTATCAGCTGTCGTTCACCACGGTGGCGCCGGTACCACCGCTGCCGGTATAGCGGCCGGTCGTCCAACTGTTATCGTTCCCTTTTTCGGGGACCAGCCTTTCTGGGGTCAGATGATGGCTCGCGCTGGCGCAGGGCCCGTATCAGTACCCTACAAGGAGTTAACTGCGGAAATACTGGCAGACAGTATCAAGTTTGCTCTCAAGCCAGAGGTGCAAGAGGTCGCTAAGGATATGGCTATTCAGATTGGCGAAGAGGATGGAGCTGGTGGTACAGCTCAGGATATTCAGGACCGTCTGGACATTGACAGCCTTCGTTGCGATATTTGTCCTGACCGACTGGCGAGCTGGCTTGATCGCAAGTCAGGAGCGCATCTCAGTGGTTTCGCCGTTGGTTGTCTCATAGATGCTGGGCTTCTGCAGTCCCAGAACCTGAAGCTACTCCGACATAGACACTGGTACGTGGACGAAGGAGCCGAGTACCCTCTCGTCGGTGCCGTAGCTGCAGTGTCAGGCTTCGCCTCAGCCATAGGAACTGCCACATCCGATTATGCTGAACGCCTAAGAAATTCCCCTGGTCGTGGAAAGACAAGGCGCTCCAGTATCAACGACACGCAAGAAGAGGCCCTGACAGATCCCGAAGAAGCCAAGACGGGAGAGGCACGTCTCCGGAAAGGTCCACGTGGTGCAAACCAGAAAGACATGGAAATACTGGCACGGAAAATGGCAACCAAGACACTCAATGGCGCCGAGCCCGTCTTCCTTACTCCAAAACTGCGTCGACCTGTTACGGGCCTTCACCAGAAGCATAAAAAGGCATGGAGGGCACACGAGGGTGGCAGAAATGGCCGCGTCTTTTATGTCACACGTATGACAGGTAAATACGTAGGCGACCTTGCTGCAGCCAGTGCGAGAGCACCTGTGGCTTTCTTCTATAACATCGCCAACGGATTCCACAACGCCCCGTCTAATTTCTGGAATGTTGAAGTTCGTCGTCGCGATGAAATAACAGGACTAGGCAGTGGTCTCAAGGTTGCGGGCAAGGAGTTCGTCTTGGGCTTTTATGATGCTTTCAGTGGAATCGTGACAAAGCCTTATGAAGATACCAAAGCGAGAGGAATAAAGGGTCTCGGAAGAGGCTTGCTAAGGGGTGGATTTGGAGTTTGTGGTAACTTGGGTGCAGGTAAGTTCACTGTCATCCCCTGAGTCCCAGAAACACAAGTCGCTAATCATGTGACAGCATGCTTTGGCCTTCCAGGTTATGCTCTGAAGGGTCTCGAGAAGGAAATGATGAAGCATACAACGACGCGCTTAAAAGCAGAGCTGTTGCTGATCAGGCTAAGACAGGGCCATGAAGATTGGCAGAGAGCGACGGAGGGAGAGCGGGAGGAGGTTGTAAGGCGCTGGAAGGCATTAAAATTGTAATCCTGTTTTTAAGATTAAAGACTTGACTTTATAGCAATTTAGTAATTTTAATTAATATATTAAAAAAGATATTATAAGATTTATAATTAAAATATTATTAAAAATATTTAC